GCGTTATGGTTAACCTTGTGAGGCTTCAGCTGGATCACTTTCAGGGTCTCTCTCTCTCTCTCTCTCTCTCTCTCTCTCTCTCTCTCTCTCTCTCTCTCTCTCTCTCTCTCTCTCTCTCTCTCTCTCTCTCTCTCTCTCTCTCTCTCTCTCTCTCTCTCTCTCTCTCTCTCTCTCTCTCTCTCTCTCTCTCTCTCACACACACACACACACACACACACATACACGTTCCTGAGTGCATTAGCCAATTAAACAGGAAGACAAAGCCCCCCCCCCCCAGCGACTCTTCTGAGTGGCTGAGGGCGACATCGTCCTCTGCTGCCCGCGGACAAACCGAGAAGGCGGCGAGCTCTGAATGTGGCTACAGTGGTGGTGAAACGTCGGCAATAGGGATGTAAAAAAATATCGATATGGAAATATATCGTGATATTTTTCCTTCAATATTATGTCGATAATCGAAAGCCGTGTATGGAACTCTTGGAAGAATTTACATGCAAACATTTGTGTATTTCCTTTTCTTTTGGTTCAAACCCGACCACTAGTTGGCAGCAGTGTGCAGTGGGTTTTGTTTTCACCAATGAAACGTAAATCTGTCTGTTATGGTTCAGATACCTCATGTTAAACATTTTACCTATCAGGTTGGACTGTTTATTCAATTTCCCTATAACAAATTCAGTCTAAATAAGTAGCTAATAAGGTCTGACTGAATGTATCACTACATATGGTGATATATCGTATCGCCTCCCCGTATCGTGATACGTATCGCCAGAATTTGACCAATACACATCCGTACTCAGCAAAAACGGTAAAACTACTTATTTCTGTGTTAAAAAGAACCAGTAATGCTGTTCCCAAACATTCAGAATGAAGTTGTTCAGTGGTGTCCAAACCTTCTGTTTTGCAGGCCACAAATTAGGAATTTTATTTTGTAAATAAAAACGAATTCAGTCAACTTTTCTCTGCAGAAACAAACTGACAGTTTAGTGAAAAGACCCATTATGTAGCTGCTCCTGGTTACAAGGTAAACTAACCTGGTTAGTAACAGCCTGGGTGGGACCCGGGTTTACCATTTTAAACAGTCCTTTTGATCCAGGTGTAACCCACCTGATGGCTCACTGATAAACCCTGCTAACGGAGAGTCGGCGGACCCAACCCAGCTGCAGAGAGGAGCCAGTCAGAAGCTAGATTTTGCCACAGCTAGTTGATGTTTAGCTGCGGAGGCTGAATTTCTGCTCCAAACATCAAACATTAGTCAGGCACCACCTTCACTTCTTCTGACGAGAATAAATGTTTTAGTGTTTCACAAGAAGATGAGTGAAAGGCTCATATGATGACGTCAAGTCAAGTCACACACAGAGGTGCCGGTTGGTAACAAGATGGCGCCTGTGCTTGGCTTAGCTGCAGTCACCGGCCACTTTTTCAAACTTTTCTCCACTAACCTCCTCTTTTCCACCTTGCTCCTGTCTGCAATCCTCTTCAGTAGTGTCCCTGCTACCATCTCCTATGATCGCCAGACTCTTTTCTCCTTCCGTTGTTCACAATTGCCCAAGATGCACCGAGGATGTATCTCCCTGTTACTTTATCTGAGTGGCGCCCTGGCCCGGAGCCAAACGACGATTCCAACCAGGGCGCCTCCAGCGATGTTCATCTGGTCCCGGGAAAACGTCGGAGGAAAAGAGGTAAACGAGCAGGAATCCAGGTGAGAATACGACTTCTCTTAAAGCGTGGTTTATCTGGTAAACATCAGCGTGATCTTCTAGCTTCTTGTCCTTTGTTTGGCGACCTGAGCGCCACTTCCGCATTCCTGCCATGCTACGTTGTGGCACGGTTTCTCCGTTTCTTAGTTTTTAAGGTCGGTTTATCCTCATTCCTCAGTGGTTTCTCCTCCTGTTCCCTCCATAAGTGGTTTTTATAAACACCGTGGATCTAACCCTGCTAATTTACGTCCACTAACTCCAGCTGTTTCTGTAGTTTCTGATTCCTCCTCCTCACTCAGCATGGCTCTATTAAATACCCGCTCTGTTAACAATAAGTCCTTCCTGCTCGATGATCTAATTCTCTCTAAAAGCCTGGATTTTCCGTTTCTGACTGAAGTTTGGCAGCAAACATTTGATTATTCTGGTCTGATTGAACTTTACCCGAGTGGTTATTCTTTTCTTAGCCAGCCCCGGGGTTCTGGTCGTGGTGGAGGCCTAGCTGTTGTTTTCAGAGACCATCTTCCATGTAGCTCTACAACCTCTGGTCACTTTGCTTCCTTTGAACTGCAGCTGATTAAAGTCGGTCATAAGAACCCGTTCTACTGTGCTGTGGTCTATCGTCCACCTGGTCCAAACAGTTCTTTCCTTCAGGAGTTTAGAGACTTTCTATCCTCCACTGTGAAGCTGTCCAGACTGGTGATTGTTGGTGATTTTAACATCCACGTTGATGATCCCTCTGATCACTTTGCCATGAATTTCTCCAGCCTTATGGAGGCCTTTGGCTTTACCCAGCATGTTTCTGAGCCCACACACACCAGGGGACACACTCTAGACCTCGTTTTTACCCTGAGTCTAAATGCTGACAGTGTTTGTCCTGAGGACGTTTATATTTCAGATCACCATTGCATTTTCTTTAACTTGTCAGTTTCTGCGTCCCCACCTCCTGCTCGCCGTACGGTTAGTTCTCGTTTTCTTAATGAGAGCACAGCTAGCAATTTTTCTGCTGCTTTTGATCCACCCTGTTCTTCTGATAACGACCCAGATTCCTTAACTTCTCAGTTTAATGAGCACTGCCTCTCCATTCTGGACAACATCTGTCCTGTTAGAACCAGATCAGTTCCTGCAGTGAACCCTACTCCCTGGTTTAATGACAGCCTTCGCAGCCTGAAGCGCCAATGCAGAAAAATTGAGCGTTTGTGGAAGAAAACCCATCCCCACGTCCATCTGCTGCACCTAAAGGATCTTCTGTCATCCTTTAACTCTGCAGTCAGAGACGCCAGGGTTTCCTATTTCTCCAACCTGGAAAAATGGTGATTTAACACCATCAGCAGCATCGTCTCTCCTGCCTCTCCTACAGCCTCTGTCCACTCTGTTGCAGACTGTGAGAACTTTTTGTCTTTCTTTGTGGACAAAGTCAACAAGGTTAGATCTAGCATCTCTCCTTCAGCCTTATCGCTGCCTCTACTCCAACCAGGCCCATCATCCTAGATAGCTTTGCTCCTGTTTCTTTGCCTGAGTTAACCAAACTAGTTAACTCTATGAAGACCTCTGCATGCCCCCTCGACATCTTACCCTCATCTTTGTATAAAAGTGCTTTTCAGTCCATCGGTCCCAGCGTGCTCTCTATAATTAATGCTTCTCTGGTTTCTGGTCAGGTTCCTGCTTACTTTAAGAACGCTGTAATCCACCCGCTTCTTAAAAAAACGAGTCTCGACGCATCTCTCCATAGCAGCTTCAGACCCATCTCTAAACTTCCTTTCGTTTCCAAGATCTCGTCTCCAAACCTTCCATCAGGAATCTTGGCGTGACCTTTGACCCAGCTCTCACTCTGGATTCTCATGTCAGTTCTTTTGGTCGCTCTTCCTTCTTCCATCTCAGGAACATTTCTAAGCTGAGTCCCATTCTGTCTCGCTCTGAACTTGAGACAGTTCTCCACACCTTCATCTCCTCACGCTTAGACTACTGTAACTCTCTTTTCACGTGTCTGAGCAGAACCTCCCTGAACCGTCTACAGGTGGTTCAGAATGCCTGTGCTCGGCTTCTGACCAAGTCCTCCAAACACACCCACATCACCCCGCTTCTCCTCCAGCTTCACTGGCTGCCAGTCAGCTTCAGGGTTCATTTCAAGATCCTGGTTCTGGTCTATAGGGCCTTACATGGACAAGCACCATCTTACATTGGTGATCTTCCTAGTCCCTACACCCCCAGCAGGTCCCTGAGGTCCAGTGATCAAAGCCTACTGGTTGTGCAGCACACCAGGCTAAAGAACAAAGGTGACAGATCATTTGCTGCTGTGGCCCCCAGACTCTGGAACTCCCTCCCCCTGAGCCTGAGATCAGTGGACTCAGTGGTCTCCTTAAAAAAGCAGCTGAAGACTCACTTGTTCAAGCTGGCTTTTGTTTGACCTTCTTCACCACTCTCTCTTTATTCTGCTCTCCCCACCTATCCCACCTTCCTCAGGATCCACTGACTTCCCTCTTTCCTATTCACTCTCTCTCTTTCTTAACATTTTTTAATCACAATAGTCCATTTTTTGCTCATTTTAAATATATTTTTAACCATTTTCTATTTTTTTAAATATATTTTTACATTTTTTTGTTTTTGTGAAGCGTCTCATGATTTTTATCTTGAGAGGCACTATTGACCCTTTGCACCGACGTCACCTAATCACGTGGGTCCACCATGGTGGACGGCAAAGGCATGTAAACAGTGAGCGACACGATTACTAAACAAAGGGAAAAGTAGAGCCTGAAATTGTTTTTGCGATCAAAACAAAAACAAAACTCCTCCAGCATTCCTTCAACTAGTTAATGCCCAGTTCAGTTATCAGAAGAAGTAGCGCATCTAGCGGGGGCTCACAGAGAGCGGTACGTTAACTAGCTTACCAGCATTAGCTTACTTCTCTCTGCAGCTGTTCACCGATGTAAACATGTTGCTGACTTTGCCTAAATTCACCCCTCTGGATTTATAACTTTATGTTGTAAACAGCGTTTCACTTTATACCAAAGCTGATTTTTAAAAAGTCCGGATCCTGTTGCTGGTGGTGTTAACGGGTTCAGCTGCTGCTCTCACACCAATGAGAAGTTCTCTGGACGCCGACGCTCATATAAATACATAACGTCATTTTAACACACGTAATCATACATCGGAGCTTTAATATTGTTAATAATTGTCTCGCTACAGTGGACGGAGCGCAGCCTGCGTGGTGAAATACCCATCCATCAGGATTATCAATAACTTGTATAAACACATCACATTTATCCCTGTCCCTGTCTTCCTCATGAAGAAAATGAATGTTAATCTTACCCGGTAAAAACATGTTTGCTGCAAATCTGAGGCCTGCTAGTCCGCTTGATTGAATGATCGCTGCGGTTCATCTCCGTCCTCAGTCTCCATCAAAGTTATTAAAAAGAAAAAATGAGTTGAGTTTACATCCTTGTCTCTTAGTGCAGCCAACCACGCAGCAAGCTAAAACCATTTTACTGTGAAATCAACTAAATAACAGTGATAAAAGGCTACAAACTGGCTTGTTTTGACTACCTTCACTGGAGTTTCTATGGGTATAAACGTCTTTTTGCCGTCCATCATGGCGAAGGGGGCGGTCACACGAGTGGCGTGACGTCACGTGCAAAGGGTCAATAGAAATTATATTTTCTTCTTCTTCAATCAGATTAATCCGGACGGATTTTATTTCTCTTTAAGATCATTTAAGGTTCGTGTTTTATCTAGAGGACCAATAGGAGCTGAGGTGCATCATCAGGGTGAAGCAGGAAGTGCTCACATCTTCTGGCCTGGATGAACAACTGGACCGGACTACAGGAGCTCAGGCTACGGAACCGTTTCCGGGTTGATCCACATGGATGTGAGGAGGTCCGCCTCTCTGGACCAAAGACCTCCAGGAAACAATAACCTGAACCGGTTCTGAGCCTCCAGAACCTCACCCTCACCCCTCCGGGTCCTACCGGTACCGCTCCGGCACAAAGCTCAGAAGTTCAACCCGCTTCCCATCTCAGACCGAACCCGCCACGACTCCTCCTGAACCAGACAAAACTCGGAGAGCTCCGCGTACGCGGAGGAGCCCACGGACGCGCGGACCGGTAAAGCGGCTCTTACCTTGAGGAGGAGGAGGTGATGAAGAACCGTTAATCCGGAGCAGGAGCCCGCATGTTGAACCGAGAGGAGGCTGAGGCGGAGTGGGGAGCGATCCACCCGGGTGGAGGGGGGGGGGGGGGGGAACAGCCCGTCCAATCAGAGACCGAGGATCTGATTGTTGCAAGAAATGGTTCGGTTCGGTTCTGAATAAGGATAAACATACAAAACTAAATACAAACGAGCATAAATTTAAACTGGGTCAGAACCGGAACCAGGACCAGCGGATCCGGTCTGACGAAGCTGCAGCAGCATCTTCCGCTACTGGCGGGTTGCGTCAGTAGGTCCAGTTAGGGACCGTCGACCGAACCGGGCTAGAAGAGAGTTTATAACTAATCACGACTCACACTTACTGGGAACACTGGGATGGAAACCCACTGCATCCCTTAATCCCAGGGATTAACTGCTGGTCTCTGGTTCCTGCTTCTGGGATTTTATTATTCTGAGTTTATCTTTAATTCCTGTTTTCTGCTTCAGTACTTTTCTGTTTTAGTTCACCTGCTTCATTTTCTGTGATTTTATCACAAATACTCACACCTCAAATCCCAGAATTCAGCAGGACCTGCAGGCAGCATCATATGTATGAAGGCTGCAGCCGGGATTCAAACCTACAACCTTCTTGCTGTGAGGCAGCAGGGCCACCATGGCAGTAAAAAAAACACCCATGGTTCAAAAACAACAACAACACACACATGCACCCCCACGTGCACCAGCACACACATGCAATAGCACACACGCATCAGCACACACACGTGCACTAGCACACACACACACATGCACCAGCACACATACATGCACTAGCACACACACATGCATCAGCACACACACGTGCACTAGCAAACACACACACATGCACCAGCACACATACATACAGTACACTAGCACACACACATGCATCAGCACACACGTGCACCAGCACACACACATGCACCAGCACCAGACCAGCACACACATGCACTAGAACACACACATGTGCCAGCATCTATGTGCACCAGCACACACACACTGCTGAGTTGATCATTTCTCGAAACATCAGAATCTGATAATCTGAAACAAGTTTTTTATTTTGCTCTTTTAATGTTCTTTAATCCTCTGTGAGTTTGTTTGGATTTAGTGTTTTAGCCAAACTCCAGGAACCTTTTGTAAACCCTCACGACTGACCAAAAGGGTCACTTTTGTCTCACAAACACATTTAGTTAAATATAAACTAGCAATTCCTTTCAAAACACACACTAACGTCACCAAAACACCAGTAATGTGACCCAGAAGGAAGGTCTTCCTGTTTTCAGCTGCAGCAGGTTCCAGATTACTGCTACTGTTGGTGACATCGGGTGATTACGTGAGAAGATGCATTCCAGAGTTTTTTGTGTTGGGTGGGAATTCCACATCTAATGATCCAGGATGTTTCTCTACTGTTTGACCTGAAACATAAGAGCAATCACACTGAGCAGACACACAAAACTACAGCAACAATGAAGCTCAGATGAACAGAGAACTAAGAAGAGAAGAACCACGTGTTCATCAGCATCTGATGTCATCCAGCGTCAGCCCCTGCCGCTGACATCCCCATGCTGACCCAGTTTCTCTTCCATCAGCTGTGTTGGTTTAGAGCTGATATTGTTGCAGAAGTGGAGGCTTTACGGTTTAGGTGCGTTACAGCGTTTGTAGATGACACAGAAACGACCCGTAGCTCTCAAAGAAAAGTGTAAGCATTGTAGAAATGTACTGACAGTTACAGGAGCCTAAGCCACGCCCACCTACTGCTGGACCATGCTCCCCTAATGCAAAAACAAAAGAATGGTAGTCCAAACACACATATGTTCACCAATGTAGTCGAAACACACATACTTACTTTTCATTTATGAGCTGACCCTAACCCTAAGTCATGGATTTACTTGTGTATCTTTAAAGTGACAATGTGTAGTTTTTACCATTAATCTCTGGAAATATCCATCAAAACTTTGATGTAAACGACTTAAAAGATGCCCAGTTGTTAAAAACTATTGGCAGTTTCATAACCTATAACCATAAAAATCTGTTCTAAAATACATGGGAGTGGGTCCAAATCTCTGGGCGACGCCATATTGGATGCCGTGTTTCCTTCTACGGAAGCCCGTGAGGACAAAACACATTCACTGATTTGTAACAAATGGTTGCAAAATTTTCATCAATAATAAACGTTGTTTTACACATTTACCTCTTCACTCACTGCCAGTGATGAGAAGGACTCTGATGTTCTGCTGGAGGTTGTTCTCCCAAGGCTTTTTGACCCTAATGGCCATCCGTTGGTATGTTCTTATTTGGACACTAAAATAATGCTTGCTTGCAGTGATTTAGGTAAGTACTGCCCCCTATCACCAGGGAAACTACACACTGTCACTTTAAAAGTTTATAAAATGTTACTCTTGTTTAGATAAATGCTTGTTAGTGACTGAACAAAAACTGTAAACTAAATGAAATGAATCCTACCTGAAGGGGAGGAGTCTATGGGTGGATGGTGGTGCAGGTGAGTACGGTTAAAAGTTCAGATCCCAGTAGCAGCCTTACATGTTCTCGTGCATGTGTGGAGTTAGCATGTTCTTTCTGCATGACATCAAATAATTTATTATAGTTAGATTTCTTGCTTTGCATTTTTTAATTGATTATAATTTATGTTTTATTCTATTTCTATATTATTTTAATATTTATTATATTTTTATTTATTATTAATTAACTTACTTTAACTATTATATTAGCTGTTGTTACTTTTATATTTCGTCTTATATTATTCTTTCTCAGAGTTTGTTCATGGGGGCCCTCTGCCTCTGGGCGGTGCTCGGGTGGAGGTGGGGTCTATGGCCTCCTTCCTCTTCACACCCCTCTGTGTTGGTACCTCGGCTGCTGCTGCTGCTGCTGCCAGGGACTGGAAAGTGATCGGTGCCACGACTAAGCCTAACCAGACTGGTTAGGCTTAGTCGTGGCACCGATCACTCACCTTTGACTCTGGAGAAGGCGCAGCTGAAGGTGGCATCACCGTGCTCCATAGCCGGCAGATGGCTCCTCTGATGGGGTTTCCTTGTCCTACCTAGCATTTTTTACTGATGTTCGTGTGTGTGTGTGTGTGAGGGGGAGGGGGGTATCTAGGGTCATTTTAATCTGTAGAGCACTTTGAGTTGCATTCCTTGTAGCACTTTATAAATAAAGTTGGATTTGAATTGATAATTGTTGTGAGAACCTTGTTTCTGTTGATTTCATGATTTATTTGAAAATAAATCTAAACAGTAAAAGAAAAACTATCTAGAATGTTGATGAAACTATAAACCATGACATATTTTATCAGTAGGTTCTAGACAGTAGGAGTATTCTGAGATTAAAGGCTCCCCCTTGTGTTCAACTAGGACACTACATCACAAATAATAAAACAACATTCCAATTAAGAAGTTTCAGGAAAATGAAGGTTTTAGAGGTTTACATTTGTAGACTGAGTTTGTATTTCTCAGTCAAGACGAACTATGAACGTGTTAAAGATAAGTGAACATTCAAAGCTTTAGAAAGGCTGGATGAATTGTGATTAAATAGAAGCATTCAGAGTTTTTACCCTGAGGAACATACGTCGTTAGATGAACTTAAACATGTGATTAAGCTTGTTTCTACTAACATAAACACGTAAATAAGAACTAAGTTTTATCACCTCTGAGCTTCACAGGACTTTCATGCTGGTTTAGCCGTGTTTACCTGAGACACCTGGGAAGGTTGCAGGTTCGAGTCCCGCTCAGTCTGTTGCTGTCATTGTGTCCTTGGGCAAGACCCCTTTGCCTGCTGGTGGTGGTCGGAGGGACCGGTGGCGCCTGTGGACGGCAGCCTCGGCTCTATCAGTCGCCCCAGGGCAGCTGTGGCTATGATGTAGCTCATCACAACCAGGGTGTGAATGACTGATTGTGTTGTAAAGCGCCATGGGGGGTTCCAGGACTCTAGAAGGCACCATATGAAATACAGGCCATTTATTTACCTTTTTACCTGAGTTTAAAGCCTGGGTGGCTGCTGGCTATCAGAAGACAAAACCTGAGTTTCACAAACATTTGTTAAGAGTAAAAACCAAAATCCAAACCTATCTAACACCCGAGTGAAGAGAAACAGAACCAGGAGTGAGTATTACAGTTTTTCTTAATTGCTTACACACATTTTCTGAAAGCATGCCTCATATTCTCAGAACTCTACACACAAATCCAAAAAACACACACAATGGGTAAAACCCCTCAGTTAACCTGCAAAATGAAACTTCACATTCAAAACAATGTTATTTCTCCTCACAATGTGATTTTGTTGTCAAATGACACACACAAACCATCATATGAATAGACATTTATAAGAACCAGCAGAACACTCATGTGTTCATTGTTAAACACCATGATGAATGGAAAACACTTCTTCTCCATTCATCATAATGACTTAAGCCTTTTTGGTTCAGTGTTACACCTACTACAGACAGTACATACATAATAATAATAATAATAAAAAACTTTATTAATCCCTCGGGTGAATTCCTTCGGGAAATTCAGTTTCCAAAAAAAGCAGCGCAACACCGACAGAGGTTACAGAACGTCAGAAAATATTATATAATAATAAAAATAGAAATAAATATAAAAATACAATTGAATTATAAAAATACAATTGAATTGCACCTTCCGGATATCAACGTCCTTAGCACCGTTGACCATTAAACCAATTTAACTGTTTAACAAAGGTACTTGCATTGAGGTATTGCACAGTGAAGTGAAGAGTAACTACAGCTTCGGTGTCCCCCCCTCCGTTGTCCTCCTGGTTCTCCTCCCTCTCCCCTCCAGAGAGGAGTTATACAGTCTGATGGCGTGTGGGACAAAGGAGTTTTTAAGTCTGTTAGTTCTCATCTTGGGGAGAAGCAGCCTTTCACTGAATAGACTCTTCTGTTTGTTTATGGCCGTGTGCAGAGGATGCCCA